AACCTCTTTGTATAAGCATCCAAGGAGAAGAAATCCTAGCAATGCAGAAGTGATGCAAACATTGCAGGATTTACAAGCTCAAGTCCGTGAATTGCAGAAGGATAAAGAGAGAGATATGGCAGAAAAGAGCAGTTCACAATTGAAAGAAACTAGTGACAAAGCTAGTATCAACTGTCAGCATAAATTTTCCGAGGTAATTTTCAATATATATCCGTTATTATTATAGAATATTTTTAGTCACTTCTAACAGTTATTATTGGTTTAGGGCATTTCATCTTGCCAGCTATACCTATCATCGCCGACTTATCGACTAGTTGGCAAGGGAAAAGTCCATAACACTTCGGGAGATTTACTTCACCATAGACCGCTTCCGGATGGACACATGAAAGTATCGGTTGACATTGCTTTAGATATGGATGTGTTGCTGCCGGTACCCGACATTGTTGCTGAGACCACATTACTGCGAGATGCAATATGATCTTTTGTTGCATGGCCATCAGACCTCATTTTCATAGATGATCAGGTATGTTGAAAACAATTATGAATCTTTAAGTATTCAACTGTCAGTTCTGACCTCAGTTATTTCCATGGTAATTATAGACTCCTACAACACCCGCATCTAAGGGTAAAGGGATTTTGCGGCACGACGAGTCTGATGTATCACAAAAAGAGGTACGTTTAAAGTGTTAATTATATGATCCGAATAAAAAAACTGCATAATTTTATAATTTAATTGAGTCTATATGATTTTTAGGTACCTTTTCAAGGGTCACAACAAGTGAGCCAGAAGATCATTGGCGTACCACCCAAGAAAAGGGTGCCTACTAGATTTTTCCCTCGATACCGACAGTGTCTTGAAACAATAGTGGGAACAACAGATTTGATGGATGTGGTATTCGTCAAATGGATATGGATCAAGGTATCTTTGGTTTTCCTTGCACCGAAATAATTGGACATGAGGACGTGGAACAGATTTTCCGTCATAAAGAATTGGGCGTCAGTATTATGCACGCATACATCCGGTAACCCCCATCTTTATATTATGGAATTAGCTGAAATCTTTTTTAAACATTTCAATGAATATAGTCTAATATTAATTATGTTTTTATTTAAGGCTGTTATATGACAAATTGATGCGCGGGAATCAATTGTCAAACATATTCTATTTCGTGTCTTCCTCCCGTGTCAGCGGAGCGACAATTGGTAGGGAACCGGAATCAGTAAGAGAGCACTTAGTCAAAAGATTCATGACAAATGGCAGTATAGAAAGCTTATATCTTTGGGCGTATAATACTATTCCTACAGGGTTAGATTTTCATTCTAAGTTCATTTTAATATTTGTAATTTTTGCGTAGAAAATTTTCTTCTAAACTGTTGTTTTAATTTATAGACGTCACTGGTTGGTTGTTATCGATCCTATAAAAGAAGTGGTCTATTATCTGAATTCGGTTGTCGGTGATTGGACAAATTATCCGGATATGAAGTTAATGATTGATACGTAAGTGAGATTATTCTAAATATTTGTGTGTATTTATATATTTAATTATTTCTGTGACATTGTTCTAAATATATATTTTTATTTTGTTAGAGCGATACAAGTATTCCGGTGTCAAAGAGAAGCTCGGGTACGACGGTCTAAATCAAACAACATTAATTGGATCAAAGTGCAGGTATATTAATTTTCACTATTTTGCTTATAATATTTATGCTATTTGATAAAACAATACAACTATATATTCTTATTTGTTTTTCTATGTAGTGTCCTCAACAACAAAACGGTATAGATTGCGGATACTTCGTTATGCGGTTTATCAAAGAAATCATTCAACTGAATCAAATAGAGATTCCAGTCACAATATGGATTTATAACTTAGGATTTGTTTTATTATTTCTCGGATATTTCATATAATTTTTTACTTTTAACTAAATCATGCATATTATGTTTTGTTATGTAGTACTTTGATGAGTACAAATGTGCATATTACACGAAACTTCAGTTGGAAGAAATCAAAGAGGAATTGTGTCAATATTTTATTGAGAAGAGAATCATATAAGGACTGGTTTAGTTGTTGTTAGGGTTAATTTTGTAAGACTGATTTTGAGTTACAATGCTGATAACAATGGTTTATATATATTTTGAGGTACAAAAATGGTGTATATATATTTTGGATTACAATGGTATACAATGCATTATCGCGGTTTATGAATTACAGGTTATGGCAACTGGTTTATATAAATAATATGCTGCAAACAATGCAGGTATATGAATTATATAAATTATACCTCTAAAAAAAAACACCCTATGAAAGCGCTTTTTGAAGAAAAACGCTGCCTTAGGTAGACCTATGAAAGCGCTTTTTCACATAAAGCGCTGTCTAAGGTAAACATATGACAACGCTTTTCCAGGCAAAAGTGCTGCTAAAAGACAACCTATGAAAGCTCTTTTCCAGAAAAAAACGCCACCAATGAAAGCGCTTCTTCATAAAAAAGCGCTGCCAAAAGCCTACTTAAGAGAGCGCTTTTTAGAAAAAGCGCTGCCAAAAGCCTACTTAAGAGAGCGCTTTTTAGAAAAAGTGCTGCCAAAAGGGTACTTAAGAGAGCGCTTTTTAGAAAAAACATTGTCATAGGTAGACCTACGAAAGCGCTTTTCATTAAACAAAAAGCGCTGCTAAAACCTATAGCAGCGCCACCTTAGAAAGCACTTTTAAGCGCTTTTAAAGGCCAAAAAAAGCGCTTTCGTAGGTCTTTTTTGGCGTAGTGAATTGCTTATTTTAATCACTTAATTGCTCTGTTTTCTAAATCAATCCTTAAACTCAAAACCCCCTATTGTTCAATAGGTTGGTTAATAATACAAGAATCATTGGGATACGATACTCGAGCCATTATCGCTAAACTACAGTTTTCAAAATTACTCGTATTGAGTCGTGCACGACAGCAGATCACCTTATCCACCATCTCGATCTTTAGTGCTTGTGTAAGCGTTGCAGGCATCGATGTTTCTCCCTTCAAAGCTTCAATACACTTCTCTTGAATTAAAATTGTTTGCATCTTTATTTTTCCACAATCCAAAGTCGTTGTTTCCAAAAAAATTCTCAAATTCTCGTCTACTCATGGTTCTCACTTGTAAACAATACCCTTTTGCCCCACGATGGGTGTCAATTGTTGTGAATAATGGCAAGATTCAATTTTAATAATACTTTGATATATGAGGCAAAGAACAATAGAAAATAAAATAAATGGCCTTTAGTAATAATAATTAATAAACAGAAGATATAACATAATAAGGAGAGAAAAGGTGAAAGGTTTGTTTACCCAATTTGATCAAAAGATCTACTCTAGGGGAGAGAGTAGCTCTTTGATTCACTATTGTCAGAGTTGTTACAAGAGATTGTAGTTGAGTTACAAGAAAATAGCATTCGCTTTCAGAGTTCCCAAGAACAATTCTGAAGGCACCCAAGAACAACCCTATTTACTATCCAATTATTTCTCAACCTCTAAACAAGTGTTTCTCAATACCCTTAGATAACTCCAAAGGTTTCCTAAAACCTTTGCCTTTCTAAGTTTTCTCTTGAGTAGACCCTAAACCTTTTGAACTTGCCTTTTTGTTATAAACCCTAAGATTATGTTAGGAAGCTAGATCTAGAACCCTAACAAGACTAATAGAAACTCTAAATTCTAAAGATGAACAAAGTAAAATAAGAATAAAGATAGCTATTGATTTCATTTGACATCCTCAAATGCGTCATGGACACCACATATATAAAACTATTGATGGATAATTAACTATAAAACCCAAAAGGCCCAATTTAACAATATTTAAAGATCCTAAGAACATTCTAGAAAATATTAGAAAATAAAATACTAATATAATTCTACTCCTAATTTAATATCTAAATAATTTATTTATCATAATTTATACTTTATCATTGCCACCGAATCCACTTGAATCTTATCCTCAAAGTTCTAAATTAATACAAAAATACATAGTAGACGCCAGGGAGTGGGATTTTGGGATCTCCATCAACGGTTAGGAAACTAGATCTAGAATCCTAACAAGTCTAATAGAAAGTATAAATTTTAAAGATGAACAGAGTAAAATAAGAATAAAGATAACTTTTGATTTCATTGATTATCCACAAATGTGTCATAGATACTACATATATAGAACTCTTGATGGATAATCAAGTATAAAGCCCAAAAGTTATTAAATGCCCAATTTAACAATATTTAAAGATCCTAAAAACATTCTAAAAAATATTACAAAATAAAATACTAATATATTTCTACTCCTAATTTAATATCTAAATAATTTATTTATTATAATACATACCTACTCTATCAGATTGTTACCATGTAAAACACTGAAGAGATACATATTTATAATTATTAAAACTAATCTATAAAGTCTAAAATACAATCCATTAATTATTAAAATAAAATATTATAAATATATTATAATATATTTTATATTAATTTAGACTATTTCTAATATAATATATGTTCAATATTCTAATATTATTGGTTTACTAAATTAATATATGACCATTTTCTAAACTGAGACTGTGTTAAGTCAATTAGAAATATATACAATTATTTAAATAATACCACATAATATAATTTGAAATGAGGATTTAAAGGGACCTTTCAAGGGTCTCAAAACTACTATATATTGAGTCAATGATCCACCATACAAATTAACTGTGGTATTGTTTCTAATCCATAAGTAAACATAATCCAAAATGAAATAACAATAGCTAAATTAATTTGTTCAAAAATTCACAAAACGTTCTTGCATGCATAAATGTGGTCTGATAAAGCAAGTACTTAGAAGATCTCACTCCAATGCCCTATTTGACATGGTCAGATCTTAAGTACTCAGCCCAAATGACTTGTTGGTGTACAATTTCGCAAACACATTCAAACTCCCAACCTAGATATTTTCTTTGTGGTTTTCATCACTTTGAATTCGAGGAAGAGGAAGAGGAAGAGGAAGAGAACAACTAAAGAGAGAGAACTATATGTGTTTCTTCTTCGCCCGCTGGATTCATATTTATTTGATTCTTAACGCTAATTTCTGAGTCTTGACTTAGCTTTAGTTCTAAGAAACTTGGTGAATATTCTTTCTTTGATACTTGAGTTTGAGTTTGGTGTTTCAATTCTTGCATTTCATCTTTTTTATCATGTACCTAGTTCAAAAGTAATAACATTTTTTAACTAATGTAAATATATAACTACCAAAAGAATGCAAAAAAAAAAAAAATTAATATAATTTTATTACCTTGTTGAAGACAGAACTCCATGAAAAATGCTGTGCACTATGATCATCTCGACACAAGCTTTTAAATTCATGATTTTCACTTCCTTGTAATCGAAGAGGCCACTTCTTTTCTTCAGGTAGTAACTGATTTATTTGAGTAGAATTTATAGGTCCATTATTATTTTTTGTTATTGCATCTTTTACATCAAATATATGTGAACTTGTCTTATATAAATCTATGTCCCACATTGAACTTGATCTTAACATGACATGATTGTTGAAAAGTCCACTCTGATGAAACCTATAAATTAATAAAATATTAAATAATTATTTATCATAATTAATTTCATTCATGCTTTAAATGTCTACTAATAATAATTATATAAAAATATAAATAAAACAATTACTGTAATTTTTAGATAACTTTTAAAGTGTAGAAATATTTTACACATGTATCAATAATGTATTTTCTATTACATCCATCATTTAATGCACATATAACTTATTTATATTGATAGTGTGTAAAAAAAAATTATAAGAATAATAAAAATTAATGTAGTTGTGATTATTTTTTAGCATAAAAAATAATATTATATGTATTATACTACCTTGAAGTGCTATGAGCTTTGATTTCACTATATGGCTGATAATAATGGTTATTATTAACACCAAAGTGCCCTTGAACATTAAATCTTCCATACATATCCAAAATGCGATGATGCCTTCCTTGCATTTCCTTATTTTTATGGGATAAAACTGAAATAAAATAAAATGAATATATAATTATGCATTTATGTAAAACCCTTGGAAACATCAAATAGTCATGAACTTGCTATCAAAATTAAGGCTCTGAAATATTTATTGAATTACCTTGGCCAGACTCATCAAGTTTTTTACTCCTATACATCTGAACATCCCAAAAAAAAAAAACCATAATATAAATGAACAGTTAATCAAGCAACAAAGTAAACTAAATTTTTAAGTATTTTGTACATAAATTAATTTCTAACCATGAATATATGTTACCTGCAAATGACTCTTCACATGTGCAATGCTAAGTCCTCTCACATTCATCAATTGGAGAACCAGCTTGGGCGTTGCTCCTATACCAAATATTGCAAATAAAAAGTTTATGAAAATGCTCAAAATAAATACTTTTTCTTAAGCATCAAAGAATGATATACACATTTTTTTTTCTTTGTTGATAAAATGAAGTATAATAGTTGAGGTAAGGATCTAAAAATAGTAAGTAGATGAAACCTAAAAATATGAGTTGGAATGTTGAAGAAGATTAAGGGTTGGATTCTGCTGCTAACAAATGTTCTCGTCTTGTAACAATAGAATCCAACCCTTAACATATTATGTAAATTTATGTATGTAATCAAGAGTAAAGTGACGAGGGACACTTACTTTCTTGCCCTCCAAGCCTCTCAACAGCATGCACAAAAGATAAATGAAGATCAGGAGTCCAACGAAGCCTAGGCATTTTCGACCTAACATATTGTCTTACCCTACTTCCACGCCCTTTCCCTTCTTGATCACTTGAATTTTGATCATTGCTACTCAATTTCTCCTCTTGTGATGATATCTCAACGTTGTTGCTTATCTCGCCACTATTAAGGCCTTCGTCACTTACAAGTAGTATCACATGATCATCATGTCCATCATCTACCACTTCTTTGTTTAAGTCAAAGAAGGAACGTTTTCTTCGATTTGGACAAGAGGGTTTTGTTCCGATATCATTACTACCTTCATTCTTGATGTCTTCATTAGATATGTGAATTCTCTCTGCCATTTTATGTTCTATTTTCCTCTTCTATCAAATTACTTTGTTGTTTCCTAGTAGACACAAAAATTGCATCAATCAAATTACTTTGTTGTTTCCTAGTGGACACCAAAATTGCATCAAACATAGAAGTTTGCACTTGATCAATACTATTATTTCTATATATGAAACCAAGATATGTTTGTTAAACAAATGGCCAAAAACAACTGAATTTTTTAATAGTGAAACGAGGTTATGTTTTAGAAGGATTCATGTTTTGTTAAACTACATTTGTACCAAAAGTTTATTAAACAACATGTGTGCTTCTTCCTAGGTTTTGGAAATCCACACTCACCTATCCATTCTACCTACAATTTGAAAATTGTTAAATTCAAGAGGGTATTACACCTAAAGAATACTCTCTTTCTAACAAAATATATATGTATCTAATTCAAATTTAGACCACATATATGAATTTTTGTTTATATTTTTTGTACTCAATAAAATATAGTGAATTATGTGTGATCTATATAAAAAGTTTCAATTCTTTCCATGAATGTTAATAATGATATTCTTTTTGTTATATTTTTATAAAATAAAATAAAAATATTCTTTTGTTACTTTTTTTTTCATTGTGAAAATTAAGGGGGTGGATTGGGGGATACTATAGAAGATGGAAAACAATGGTCTAACTCTCACATCCATATTTTTCAATGAGAAAGTTGATTTTGAAGTTGTGATTTGTATAGAAATTGAAGTATCACTTGTACTTTCTTAAATAAAATTTGTATATACATCTTAAAAGCATTCTATAAAGCAATTTGTATTCTAATTTACTTCTAAATTGATCAAGATACTAGATCCAAAAATAGTAAAATTAAGACTTAAAATCAATTGCAAAACTTTCTTTCCAAAAAAGGAAATCTTAGAGAGAGAGAGAGAGGAGGAGAGAGAGAGAGAGAGAGAGAGAGAGAGAGAGAGAGAGAGAGAGAGAGAGAGAGAGAGAGAGAGAGAGAGAGAGAGAGAGAGAGAGAGAGAGAGAGAGAGAGAGAGAGAGAGAGAGAGAGAGAGAGAGAGAGAGAGAGAGAGAGAGAGAGAGAGAGAGAGAGAGAGAGAGAGAGAGATGTACAAACCATTTGTGAGGGTGAAGCTTAACAACTCTCTTCCAAGTTAGCTTCCTCTAATCAAAGATGAATATTGGAAAAAGATCCTATTAGCCAACCCTTGTTTCCAAGATCCAATAAAAAACCAATTATTTCTTTGGAGAATCAACTTTGCAACTGACTTGAAGTAAAAGAAGGTAAACCTAACTCATGTTTGTTGATCCAAATGTATCTATTGATGATGGAAGAAAGAAAAGTAAGAGAGAAAAAAACCCTAGTTCTTGGTTATGAGGTTTCTTTTCATTTGTGTTTGTGAAATGAAAGTAGCTAGCTGGTTTTGGAATGTAAGGAAAATAATTAATGCTTAAAATACCATAGGCACATCAAATATTCTCACAGATGGTACTATATTCAAATATCATAAAATATTCTATATGTAGAAGACAATGGTCGGACATTAAACAGCTTGTATATTTATATTTCTAATTTAATTCATTTTCATTAATTGACTTATTATGTTACTATTTTATACAAAATGAAAAAATATATAAACAAAAGAGAAACTAATATTTTTATCAAATTATCATTATTAAATAATATTTATTATTATTATTATTATTATTATTATTATTATTATTATTATTATTATTATTATTATTATTATTATTATTATTATTATTATTATTATTATTATTGGTATTATTATAAATGTATAATAGAAGATATTGATTTAAAAATGATGATGTAGAAGTATTAATTAAAAGATATAATTTTTAAATAAAAATCATTAATTTAAAAATGTAATTTATTTTAGAATAATTTTGTTGTAAATAAATGGAGTATTGTGGAAAGTAGGGAATATTATTTTTGAAATATTTGATTTAGGAAGTAGCTAACTAGGTAGCTAAGAATTAACAACAAAAGAGATGAAATACACACGTATGACCCTTATCTTGGACTATTGAGAATCATGTGATATTTTTTGCTTTTTTTTTTTATCTTTCCAAATTTTCTTTGACAACTTTTCTCTTTCTCCGTGATAATATTTATTCTTTACTAATAGTATTAGTTGACCTCTGTTACTGATAGCTCCCATTTATTTTTTTATTTTATAAAAATATATCTTAAAATATATAATATAGTTAAATTAGACCAAGACTTGTAAGTCCACAAATACACATCACCTTCACAACTTTTACTTTTGCATCTCAAATAATGCATGCGGAAAAGTTCTTTTCATAGTGTGAAATGATAAATGAGAATATGAAAATGTCTAAATTTGTTTGAACGTATAAGAATAATAAATATGTATAGGTGGGTTGTAATATGGACATGCAGTTGTGAGATGGATTTTACTGAGTAAAATATTTGAATGTACTGATTACCTCGAAAAGTTTCATGTCAGTATGTTTTAACTTTTATAATAAAGGGGACAGGCGCAATGATAGGAATAAAGAAATGTATACGGGTATAAGCATTTGTCGTATGTGTTTCTTTTATTTCCAAAATAAAGAAGAGACAGAAGAGTTAAAAAATTTAAAAGTTAAAGTTTTTGAGTTGGAAAAGAACAAAGAAAGATGCATGTTAGAAAGATAAGGTTTAGGGGTCAAGGATATTAGTGATAAAGATAATATCAATTGTGATTTCCAATAGAAAATTCTCGAGGTAACATATATTATTATGAATTAACATAATTTTTTTTAATTGATATATATATATATATATATATATATATATATATATATATATATATATATATATATATATATATATATATATATATATATATATATATATATATATATATATATATATATATATATATATATATATATATATATATATATATATATATATATATATAAACATTAACAATTTCATATTTATTATTGGTTTAGGGTATTTCACCTTGTCAGCTATATTTATCGTCACCGATTTATCGCATGGTTGGCAAGAGAAAAATGCATAACACTTTGGGAGAAGTACTTCACCATAAACCGCTCCCTGCTAGATTTTTAAAAGTATCAATTGATATTGCTTTAGAGAGGGATGCGCCATTACCGTTACCTGACGATATTTCAGATGCAACATTGGTGGGAGAGGCAATAGAATCTTATGTTGCATGGCCGTCAAGCCTCATTTGTATAGATGATGAGGTATGTTAACATTTGCAACGTTGAAAACTATTATGAACCTTTGAGTATTCAAATTTTTTACAACCATTTAGCGTATATTTTTTTCATGGTAATGTTAGACTTCCACAAAATTCAAATCAAAAGATAAGGGGATTAAGCCGCATACCGAGTAAGTTGCATCCAAAAAGGAGGTAAATTGATATATATTATGCATAGGAAAGGTTAATTCACGATCTTATACTTCACATAACTTATTATATGCATTGGATCTTTAGATTCATCTTAAAGACATGCAACAAGTCCATATGAGTTAGAAGCCTGAAATTGGCAACATGTCCGCAAAAAAAAGGATGTGGCAAAGTCTGCGGCTAGAAAAAAGCCTACTTCTCATTATAGGTCGTTTCTTCAGACATTAATGGGAATTTTAGATTTGACTGACGGATGTGCTCGTAATATACCTATGGAGGAAGGTATTTTTGGTTTTTCCTATTACGAAACAATAAGTAAAGAGGATGTGGATCAAGTTCTTAGACATGAAGAATTAGGCTTTGGTGTTGTCAATACATACATCAGGTATTCTCCGATCAACTTTATTTTGTTTTTATTGAACAATTTATCTACTAATTTCAATTAATGGTCTTAATGTTAATGATGTTTTTATTTAAGTTTCATGTATGCCAACTTGATGCGCCCGCGTAAATTGGACCAAAGATTCTCCTTCTTATCTCCAAACAATATCAATGCACAATTAATTAAACAACGAGCAGATGATGTCAAAGAGTATTTTATCTGTACATTTATGGCCAAGAAAGATACGAAAAATTTTTTTTCCATTTAATACTAGCAATGGGTAAGATTTTTATTCAAACTTCATCTATTATAACTTTTCGTGTTTTGACGTTATGTAGAAACTTTTCCATCTAACTTTTGTTAATCTTACAATAGATACTGGTTGTTGATTGCGATCAATCCAATAAGAGAAGTTGTATATTATTTGGATTCGTTAGAAGGCGATTGGACAAAATAACCAAACATGAAGGAGATGGTTGATATGTAAGTTAGATTGTTCTAAAACTTCATTTGTATACTTATTTATTTTTTTATGTGAGATTGTTCTAAATCTTCGTTTATATTTTGTTAGTGTTATACAAATTTTTAGATCACAAAGAGATATTCAAGTACCAAAGAGTAAGGCAAAAAATATTACATGAATTAAAGTGCAGGTATATTTTTTATAATTTTGATTATATTAGTGATGTTACTTGATAAAACAAGTTAAACTATATATACTGATATATATTTGTATATTTTTCCATGTGTAGTGTCCTCGTCAGTGCAATGGTATAGATTGTGGTTATTTCATGTTGAAGTTTATGAAAGAAATTATTCTTTTGAATCAAATAGAGATTCCAACCATGGTATGAGTTTCTAACTTATGATTTATTTCAATATATTTAACATATTTCATCTAATCAATTAGTTTTAACTAAATCATATTATGTTATATTATGTAGTACTTTGATGAATACAAGTCTTCTACTTATTCGAAAGATCATTTGGACGAAATTAATGAGGATTGGTGTCAATACATTATTGAGATAAGAATTTTATAAGATATTGTAACACTTTCATTGATGAGAATTTTGAGTATATATAAGTTTGAGTTTTGATGAGATTCTAAGTCGTCATAGTGTGGTAAATTGTTGTAATGTTGTTGTTGTTATGTGGAAGGTTAGTTAGGATGGTATTGGATTTAAATTCAAACAAAATTTTGTTTGTATCATGGTATGTA